AACGAACGAAGCAAAGCCGTATCCCAATTGTGAAAGTTCGGTGGAACGCCAAACGAGGACCGGAATTCACTTGGGAACGCGAAGACCAAATGAAACTCAAATACCCCCATCTCTTCACGTAGTTGTACTGTAACTCTTATATGTATGAATTCTAAAATTTCGGGACGAAATTCCCCTAACGGGGGGATGATGTGACAACCCCAAATCTATTCCCGTTACAAATCCCATTTTCACTAACGGAATACGTTAACGTACGTTATTTTATGTAATATTTGGAATCGTTAATATCCGAATATCTAATTATGCATGTCCTAATATCATTATAAGTAATATAACTCATACGTGTTAATCTAGTTTAACCTAATAGAGTGTATTACATTTCAACCACTTCACCCGGGTAAAAAGTTTTAACCCCGTTAAACTTTAGCATCGAGTAGCCGTGTATCGGGTACAATACCCGAGACATATAAAAACACTTGAACACTTCAATTGGACTCTTTTACCACTATTACACCTCTCTCTCACTACTTTCTCTCTCTAGACCCGAAATCGACTCCAAATCCGCGAATTTCCGACTTCCAAACGTAAGGATTCATCCCCTAACTTAATCTAATCATACTTTACTGCTTTTAGAGTCCAAAATCATGAGAATCAAGGACCATAAAGGAGTTTACGGCCTAAGAAGCTCCTTAGGCCGTAAACCCCCAAAATCATACCAAAAGCTTGTTTTTCCTTCTTTTAAGCTTATGGACTAGTTAAGGCATAAACCTAGGGGACTTTGGACACTAAAACACAAGGATTAGAGCCTAAAAAGGAGTTTACGGCCCAAGCATGTGCTTAGGCCGTAAACACCTCAAACACCCCAAAAACACTTGTTTAAAGTCCCAAAAACTCATCTAGGGTGTTTGGCAATTTAGACTTGACAACAAGGAAGGCTTAAATGCATCAAACAACATCATTTGATGGCAAAAAGAGGAGTTTACGGCCAAGGCTAAGCTTGGGCCGTAAACACCCAATTTGTGTCAAACAAGTCCCAAAACCCTATGCTTGTAAGGATTTAGTTAAGGCCTTTGGAAGTGTGTTGTACCATTAAACTTCACATTTGACACAAAATGAAGAGTTTACGGCCAAGGATGTTCTTGGGCCGTAAACTCCCCAAAAATATATGCCAAATTGTCCCAAACTCACTATATGGCCTTCTAGGATTTATCTAAGGTGTATGAGACTTTGTTGTACCATTAAAACATACATCTTGAAGGGTTTACAAGAGTTTACGGCCCAAGAACAAGTCTTGGCCGTAAACTCCCCAAAAATGTCACAAATTATGATGTTTAATCCCTTAAAATAGTCCAAGACACATACCACTAAATCAAGGAAGTGAAATAAGACCTTAAACATACACTTTGGAGTGCCACAAGAGTTTACGGCCAAACCTAGGGGGTTTACGGCCGTAAACTCCCAAAGGATGGCTTTTGGGCCATAAACTCCAAGGGAGTGAGCTCGTGGACCCTCCCGTAAATCATTCATGACTTTGTACCACTCCCGGGAACCCCTTCTAGGCCTTAAAACCCCGAAAACGATGCTAGAATGTCCAAATACTATAATGAAAAGCATAAGATGATTAACTTCTTGTAAAATACATATTTCATATGACATTAGGGTCCTAGGAGGTGCTCAAGAGGTTATTGGGTACCAAACGCTCAATCGACACTTTTACCCGATTTACCCGATTTCCGCGATTTCAGGTGAGTTCATACCCCTTAATGAACCTTTCAAATGTTTTATATGTTTTAGGGGGGAGATACAAGTTGAATATACATGTTTATGAAAAGTTATACAAGACTATTTTTCAGATTTCAGAGTTAATCACATGTGATTCACAATCTGTAGTTCAAATCACATGTGATTTATCACTATGCTTTATAAATAAATCAATTGTTTTCAAAACTATCTTGGATTAACAAACAAGTTTTAAATGTTCCTTTCGTACAATACTTTTGTTAATAAAACTCTTTATAAGAATGTAATCATACTAATATATTTATATAAGTAAGATTTGAAAGACTTAGGACCGATAGCTCGCCTTATTTCCTGTTTCTTGTTTGATTGTGGACTTAGGGTAGTAGTTATCCATCCGACTGTCATTGATTTCTTAATTATATATCTGTATATTAGTACAGATTATGAGTACTTCTTAATTCATTAATTACCTGAATCACTACTTGACTAGAACCACATACACTAAATTAACTATAATGGGTATAGTTAAGGACTCTATCTCTAGTTTCCACTATTACTCTACACTACTATAATTCTCTATACTATGAAGCAATACACTAATAAGAGAATACAATACAAGTTATACGAAAGATTACTACACTATAATACAAGAGAATGCACTAATCATGAGATAACTCACTAATCCACTACGGGATACTCTATACGCTATTCACTATGCCCGAAGTTTTCCGTCAGGAAGACGACACTATATGTATAGATCTATACGGGGCAGACGCTATTACATCCCGACTGATAACTTCAGTCCGAGCCGCTCAGGCCCAGGGATGCTGTTACTCTACTACACTATGCATGACTGGGAAGGTCATGGGGATTCGCTATTACTCACACTATTGGGAATATACTAAGAAAGACACTATAACCGCACTAAAATACTAAAAGAAAGATGAAGTAATATCCCGAAGTAAATAAGTATCTAATACTAAAGGATGCTGCACCACTATTATATACTCTAAGAATAACTACTATACTACATTACATAATGATGAGTCACTATTACACTTCTATGATAAATGACATTCAAGATAGAAACAACATATTTCTTAAAGATTTTCGCTTACTATACAGTTCTGGAAAATATGGGATTTTCTAGGTTTTACCACTATTTATGATTCCAAACTTCAGCTTTCATACTAATGACTCTAATACTTTTATACAAGTACTCACACTAAAAACTCTTATGAACTCACCAGCTTTATGCTGATATTCTTTTCAAAATAACTTGTATCTTCAGGTCAAAGATAGACAGGTACAGCAGCAAATTTTTGGAGAAGATGGAGGATACAAGACCCATCTCTTATTTTGTTTACTTTTGGTGTTTGTCAAACATTACAAAACACACTTGTAAATACACTTACTATATAAATGAAATGTTTGTATGTTTCTTGCTTTTACTATTATACAATTGTGATGATACTGTACACTACGTCATCCACCCCGAAACGTATTCCGCCGTTATCGGTTTTGGGGTGTGACAATAAGAATAGAAGAAAACGTTAAACTTGGTGGGGGTTAGTAATGGGAACCTAATTTCCAGATGTGATTTAGGAAATTGCGAGAAAGAGAGAGTTTGATCACACCTGTTCCGTCATCATGGCATATGGGAGACGGTCGAACCGAAGATGTTAGATAAAGCACCAGATCAAAAGAAGTCAAAACAAGCTCTTGCTTTTTTGTTTCAAGTGATACCCGAAGACATGGTGTTGCAAATGGCGAGTTACACCGACCCAAAGCAAGTGTGGGATGGGCTAAAAACACGGTATTTGGGAGTGGATCAGGTAAGAACGGCTCGATTTGCAACCTTAAAAATGGAGCTTGAAAGTTTACGCATGAAAGAGGATGAAACGGTTGATGATTTTGTGACGAAATTATCCGGTTTAGCATCAAAAGTAAGGAGTCTTGGATATGAGCTTGAAGAAGGTGATTTGGTAAAAAGGTTACTAGATTCGATGCCTAGGTCATTTTTCCAAATCGTGGCTTCAATAGAGCAATGTTTCGAGTTGGATTCAATGTTATTCGATGAAGCGGTTGGTAGATTAAAGGCATACGAGGAGCGTATAAGAGGAACCGAGAAAGTGGAGAACACTCAAGTTGGGTTGTTGTTGGCTAGTGACGAAAAGTCACATGTTTGTAAGCATTGTGACAATGGACATTCAAATCGAGATGACTTTGGACGTGGCCGGGGAAGAGGTCGGGGGTCCGGGAGAAGTCGAGATGGTAATGAACGTGTCCGGGATAAAAGTCATGTTAGATGTTACAAATGTGGTGAGCTTGGTCACTATAAAAACGAGTGTCCTAAATGGGAAAAAGAAGAGGCGGGTCTAATCGAAGAGGAATCGACATTGTTTTGAACGAGTGGTTCGTATGACCAAACCGATTAAGGGGGTGATTGTTGGGTTAATCGGTTATTTGAAAAGTAATATGAAAGTTTCTTTTTATTAGTTTTGTTTCCTAGTTTTAGAATAAGAGTCGAAGTCTTTTTATTTATTTATTTATTTATTTATTTATTTATGGTTTTAGGGGTTCATAAGGTATCTAATTAATTAGTATAAAAGTAGACTTCATTTGTTGTTCTTTTTGTTTTAACTTATAAGAGCAAGTTTTCTTCCACTACATTCTGTTTCCGTGTTCCTTGCACCATAAAAGAAAACTAGTTTATTTTCTTACACAATCAAATATCTTGCAAAAAGCCACGTGATGAGAAATAGAAATCAATAGATAATGAAACTAAAGAGAAACAGGAAGAATCAGAGAAGAAGAAAATGATATCATTAAATCTAATGAAATGAATTACAAACTATATTGAATGAAGCAAGAACCTCAAACAATCCCAGGGAATCTCCCTCTCTCACTAGCTAAATGCTAAGAGCCAACAACATTGAACAATACTAATCGACATCCCCAAAATGAAATTACTCTTCCCTCTTTATTCCACTCTCTCTCTCTCTCTCTCTCTCTAACTGACTTTCTAGCCACTTTCCATTTTTGCCCTTCTATCCCTTCTAGAATGCACGTGTAATATTCCTAATTTATTTATATCAAGGCCCAACCATTCTGAATCTATATCATTACTCCTTCCTTCAAAGAAAGTCTTGTCCTCAAGACTTTAACAACTAATAGCCCATCCATCTGCCAGTGTGTTGTCTCCTATTGTACCTCCTTTCCACCTAATTAACCATAGATGCAGTTGGTCCAGGTAATGCTTAACCATATGAATAGTCAGACACTTCTGCTCTTTTGGTATTTGCAATTGTACTTCCTGTCCACGGAATGATCCATTGATCTACCCTAAGTGGCCTCAATCCGTTATCATGGCTGTGCCATTCTTCCTTCCTTGCTTGTACCCAAACCCTATTCTCTACATGTTGAACTACCATTAAAGTGTTCCGATTATACCCAATTTCATATGTAAACTTTTCGGTGGACTGATTGAAAGTAGAATCAGTCTCATGTTTTGTCCACATAATCCAATTAGAACGCCAATGGAGTAGATCCAACAAATGACAGATCACTTCCCAAACAAGATTTTTGGTAATTAACTCTGCCATATACCTAGATGGTAGCTCTTGCATTTGGCTTGAACATAAACTAACTTCTGTATCCCAATTGTGGATTACTTTTCCAAAAGATGTGAGCCATTCCATTCCCAAAATCAAGTCAGTGTTACCATACTTAGAAACTAATGACTTCACTTCAATTGAAGTACATCCTAATTGAATGATTAACTCCACACATAACTCGGTCACAAACACCAATTCATTATCACTCAGTCCTGATTGAGAATTAGCAACAACTCCAAATAACTCCAAAATTTGACACGGTCCCACAAAAACATTCTTTGACAACTGATCAAATGGTACCTGATTAGCATCCCACGCATAGTGATTGCAGTCTTCTTTGCATTTATGACATTTGTGAGACAAGCGGACTTGAGAACCACCATGAAAACTTAGGTCCTTTTTCTTTCGTTCCTTCCATTCCGTGCGACTCGATGATCTAACTTTCCGATCCCGTTGAAACACATAAGCCATTGCCGGCGTTGGGGAAGGTGATGGCAGCTGATTAGGATAAACGTGGTTATTTTCATTCCAATTAACAAAGCGTTGATCAGTGGCCTTATTGACTAGTGGGTTTATATTTTGTTTTCTCGTTAAAACCCAGTCTATCTTTCGATTTAACAATTGTGATCCCCATGAATCAATTGCAGCCCAATTGTCATTTTTAAGCCCATTGGAAGTGTAACCTGGATAACCCCATTCTAAACGGTTGTTAAACGGAGTCGTTTTCTCCCAAGAGCTCCGTTTGGACTCCATCATCGTTCCCCCGTTCTTTTCGTCAATTCCCGGCAGCAGGGGTGGTGGTGGTGGTGATGGCGGCGGCAATGGTGACGGAGGCGGCGGTCTACTAATTGGAATCATCACTTGCTTTGCTGCTTCCTTTTTTTTTCAATTCCAAATTTAATCTCCGTGAAATACTTCTCATAATCTCCCGGTTGTTCCATTCCTACAATCCAGGTATTTAGATACTTTCCGTTAAGGTTGAGGGTGTATTGGATTGTAAACTTCTCTTTCATTCCGCCTTGATTCGAGATTAAGCCCATTGGCTTTCCATATTTTTCTTCTTCAACGGTCGTTAGTGGCAGTGGTGATGGTAGGCACGACGTTAGGTTTGGTGGTAGAGTCCGAGGGTTTGTTTTGGATTCCGATTCTAACTCATAAACCCCCAAGAATACTTCATCTCCATCAGGTGGTGATATTTCGTTGCTTTCACGATCTATTTCATCCAAAATCATTGGAGATGTCACCGAAGGCAAACCCAACGATGCGACCTGAACGACACGGGAAGTAGGATGAGACTGGAAACCGCTAACTATGCCAGACGAATCCCTAGAAGCATCATCAACCACCGACTTTGGTAATGTCCCAGTCGGATCGGAAACAATGCTAATATCTGAGAAAAACTCTGGATCCTGTTCTTCATCCAATCAAGCAGTACTTCACGAAACGCAACCTCTTATGCCCGTTCTGAGGCCATGGCGGTTCTGATTGAGGCCATAGATGTCCTGATTTCCTGTATGTCTTCGTGAATCCTTGCTATTTGCTTATCATGATGATCCAGACGCTATGAGACATATCTAGTTTCCACCACTGGTTGCACCATTGTTACTCAACTCCGGCAGGTCACGGCAGGTCGGACCAATGATGAGAAATAGAAATCAATAGATAATGAAACTAAAGAGAAACAGGAAGAATCAGAGAAGAAGAAAATGATATCATTAAATCTAATGAAATGAATTACAAACTATATTGAATGAAGCAAGAACCTCAAACAATCCCAGAGAATCTCCTTCTCTCACTAGCTAAATGCTAAGAGCCAACAACATTGAACAATACTAATCGACATCCCCAAAATGAAATTACTCTTCCCTCTTTATTCTTTTCTCTCTCTCTCTCTCTCTCTCTAACTGACTTTCTAGCCACTTTCCATTTTTGCCCTTCTTGTCCCTTCTAGAATGCACATGTAATATTCCTAATCTATATCTTGCAAAAAGCCACGGCTGTAAAGGTGGATATGGAGAAGCTTCAAAATATCGTGTACTTAATTGAAGGCCCCAGTTGTTTTTTTTTCCATCGCCTGCCCCTGCTCCTTCTTCCGTGTCTTCTTCAATATACAGGGGGATAATTCAGCAGCTATTAGAATTATCTACCATCTCTAATACAAACCCTTTTACCTCCTCCTTCTCCGATGGCAAACCAGCCCAGCAGCTATTGATCACCACTAAGTCCCAGTGAAGAAGGCGCCTGGTCTTTCTCAGGCCTGTAGTCGCAGCTCAACAGGGAAGAAGAAGCAGCTACTGCTTCATCTTTTCTCCTGCCATCCTGTATTCGACATCCCATCAGCCCCTTCCTACTTTGTTTCTGTTCTCCATCTAGTTCAGGTAAGCAGCAACCTTTAAATATCAAAAACTATCCTTATTACCACCGTGAACAGTGAACGCCAGCCATGGTGGCTGGTGGCCTGAACAGTCCGACGTGATGGCCCAGTGGCTGAGTGATACTGAACAGATGATTATAACCTCTAACTCCACTTTTATTCTTCATGAAATGGTCAGGTTGATTCCAAGTCTTTCATCCCGGATCCCGTTTAGAACACCAGTTTCCCGACATTCCCGAATCTCAAAAACCAAAGTGAGTTCTATGGCCCCTATTTCTTATTATCAATGTTTGGGGGAGAATACATGTAGTTCGGTCATATTATTATGATAAAAATAGTTTAAAAAATTATGATTTGGAGTACAATAACTATCACTAAGCATATGTAATCATAAACATGAAATGTGGTGATGAACTAAGATTGCATTACATATCTCATAACCATGATTATAACAGCTTACTTTATGGATGTAATCATACATATATGCTGTGAAATTTCACTGAGTATTAAGTTCACAAAAGCTAAATGTACAAAATGATTAAGGATTATCAAAGTATGAATTTCATAGATATATGTATATGAAATAAACTGTTGAAAAGAGATAGTTTATATGCTGTGAAATTGTAAATTCAAAGTATTAGTGTGTAGTACGCACATATTCTATATTGTTGAATAAGAACATTAAAGGAAAGTGAAATCAGTTACTTATAAGAGATAAAGGAAATAGTAATGAATTGTTATTATACAGTCATACAAGATCAAATAACCATATGTCTATACCTAATTAAGATATCTAAATTGTGCATGTATATATCGTACACTAAAGAAACTTGATTAAAAGTTATTAATTAACTTAAGTCCTACTAAGGCAGTAAACTTAATACAAATATATATACATACACTAAATGGGTAATAGATGGAAATTCCGTATAAATTGTCAATCATGGTTTCCTTGCACATTAAAAATCATAGTATTATTATCATAATATCGATGTCGAATCAAGAATAATAAATATTGAAGTTTTAAGAATTTCATGTATCATTTTCTAAATTGGCAAATAACTTCACATCTCTAAGCGAATATAAGCTGAATATCATAGGTTCATTATACCTATTCTTCATAGGTTCATTTTATCCATTCCAAATAGGCTCATTATACCTATTCTTCATGGGTTCATTATATACATTCCAAATATGTTCATTATACATATTCTAAATATCAAACCTAATCCGTTTGAGTATTCATTATAAGTTACATCCGATGTCGCAACAACTAAGATCACAATACTTAGTAGAAACCTTCCGTCATATATCCGTTAATCATCAAGGGAACGACTAACGTTGGGTATAAGTGACACAACACTGATCTTATACGGTGCGACCACCCGCCTAGAGTTGCTAGCTACAACTACGTCTGACGAGATGAATTTTTGGCGCTGACGTTAGCATTATCGAACATTACACTGTGTTATTACAGCAGGGGGAATGACTTTATCATGCCCTTAAATGGAGTCGGTGCAATAATAAAGTTTAGTGTCACTCCAATATGTAAATGATTGTATATGTTTCCAGGAAATCCAATACTTCCTAAGAAACGAGTTTAGATTCGTTGTGTCTACAAAGAAGGTATCTATTCCGAAAAATCCTATATTTTCCCTAAGAATGAATTTGTAATACTATATATTTGGAGAGTGATAACGTTTAACCTGGAAAATCCTATATTTTCCATAAAGCTAGAGTGTAGTCTAAATACTCTAAGACCATAAATGTAAGTAAATATGTCATACTTAGTTTGATAACTTGTAGTTTTATTATTAAGTAAAACTAGTTGAAGATGTGTTTACCCTGAATTCTAAATGTGTTGAGAATACCCTATCATGATTACTTAGTACCTACAAGTTATATATAACTAAGATCTGAACAGACAGTCGATTGGGTGATTCTGCCCTAAGTCCACAACCAAATAAGGAACAAGAAATGAGGTGAAAGTCACACATTCCACAGTCTATCGAATAAAATCCATATAACCCTAGTGTAAATACGAAGTAATCATATAGTTATTATCCCATGAGCTTGCTTGAGTTGCGTATTACTACGTGCACGAATCATTGTTTCCGCGTGCGAGTTCTTATAATCATACTAATATGACTGATATCCATACAGTTAATGATATTTGTCACCCATGAACTTCCGTTCCAACTGTAACGACGTAAAATTCCAAAAGATTTTTTTCCATTTTTAAAACATAACACATCTCATAAAGTAATTTCAAAACTCAAATGTATCGAATGTTATCACAATAAAACATATCCTAGAATCTCCGATACATAATACACAATACTCCATCAGTGTGTACAGATCATGCCGATGCCTTCCCGTGATCCTCGCTGGTACCTAAAACACATATCACATAACACGGTAAGCATAAATGCTTAGTGAGTTTCCCAAAATACTACATACAACACATAAGCCACTCGAGGCTATAGCTCTATGAGACCTTCCGGTCAATGTGTCTCAGGGGACTTCCGGTCCTATAATCTGAGTAGACCTTCTGGTCTTACTCCGTTAACCTTCCGGTCCATACCATCTTGACCTTCCGGTCCCTCCACTATTAACCTTCCGGTCCATACTCTGTTGACCTTCCGGCCCATACCAGACTACTCATAACATACATAACATATACATATCACATAGAGACATATAACACATACTTTCGATAGCACATAAGACCTTCCGGTCACACATAGTTACCTCCCTAGGTATAGTGAGAAGACTCACCTCGGGTAAATATGTGTATGATGAACACATACTTTCGATAACACATAAGACCTTCTGGTATAGTGAGAAGACTCACCTCGGGTAACTCGGATAATCTCGAACTCGAATACTGATCTAGCCTCCCCCTAATCACATAAACAATTTTCGTCTAACTAACAATGGCTCTTACAGGCTAGATTAACCCCCCTCATAATTCCTTAAAAGGGTAAAAGACCATTTTACCCCTCCCAGACCCCAAAGCCCAAATGTTGACCAAACCCTAAAAGTCAACGAAAGTCAACTTAGTCAACGGTCCAACTTTGACCAGACTCGCCGAATGCACTCGTGGGACTCAGCGAGTTCATGCGCATCCTCTGAATCCTTCTAAGCCCTCACCCCACTCGCCCAGTTCACCTTTCACTCGACGGGTTACCATTGATCACGAATCGCGGGGCAACCCGACTCAACTCGTTGAGTCCTCTCATGGACTCAGCGAGTTTCCTCCATGTCAACTCCCAAATGACCTTCTGAGATCAGATATGTTTCTCTAACTCATAGATCTGACCTTTAAACACTCAAAAGTCACGTAAAGGTCCAATCTAAATATGACAACCAAGATCCAAAACCCCAAAAGGAGAGCATAAAGTTGGATGATTGGGACTCTCTGGACCTCTCAATGTCCAGATCTAAGGTCTATTTCGTATTGGGACTTATCTTGCTTCTTATTCCAACTCAATAAAGGGTAAAGAAACGCTTGATTCAATAAGCCTACAAAATAAAGAAGAAAATGGCCGAATTGCTACCTCAAAGTGAAGTCTCCTTGCTTGAAAGTCTTAGAACAACAACCTCCTTTGGTCCTTCCTGCTGGATCACTTCTCCTCTTTAGCAAAATCACAACAAATGGCTCAAGATGGCTCTCTCTCTCTCTCACTTCACACGCTCAAATATGATAGGGTTCTTTCCTCTGGAAGGGTAGCCACAAATGAATGCCACAAGGACCCTTAAATAGGGCACAAGCCCAAGGATTTAGGGTTTCTGCCAACATCATGGACTCGTCGAGTCCATTCACCGACTTGTCGAGTCCACTCATTAATCCGAGTCATCATTCACAATCCTACTCAACGAGTTAGGGTATTAACTCGTCGACTCACTCCTCATATCACAAAACAAATAATTATATAACCATAACTGGGAATCTGGATGTTACAGTTCTCCCACACTAGAATCAGACTTCACCCTCGAAGTCTTACTCAAACAACTCTGGATGCTGCTCCTGCATCTCCAGTTCCGGCTCTGAGGACAGCTCGGACCCTTTCCGATGTTACCACTGGACCTGAACCAAGGGCATCTCTTTATTCCTCAGAACCTTGATCTTCCGATCCAAGATTGTGATCGGCCTCTCAATGTAGTTCAGGCTCGCATCCATCTGAATATCCTCTAGTGGCACTACTGCTGTCTCATCGACTATACATTTCCTCAACTGGGATACGTGGAAGGTATCATGAATCTGAACCAACTCCTCGGGTAGCTCTAAATGGTATGATACTTTGCGCACCCTGGTAATCACTCTGAAAGGACCAATGTATCGGGGCCCCAGCTTGACCTTTTTCCTGAATCGAATCACTCCTTTCCAAGGAGATACCTTCAGGAGTATGAAATCACCAACCTGGAATCCGAGCTCGGATCGCCACCTATCCGCATAACTCTTCTGGCGGCTCTGGGCTGTCAGCAATCTCTTCCTGACCTATTGTATCTGCTCAGTCGTCTTAAGCACTATCTCAGTGCTGCCCATCACTCGCTACCCCACCTCGCCCCAACAGATAGGGGTCCTACACCTCCTCCCATACAACAGCTCAAAGGGAGGCATACCAATACTCGAATGTTGGTTGTTGTTGTAAGAAAACTCGGCTAAAGGTAGGTATGAATCCCAACTTCCACCGAAGTCCATGACACATGCTCAAAGCATGTCCTCAAGCATCTGTATCGTCCGCTCACTCTACCCGTCCGTCTGTGGGTGATAAGCGGTACGGAGGTGCAACCTCGTGCCCAACTCCTCATGAAACTTCTTCCAAAACCTGGAAGTGAAACGTACATCGCGGTTTGACACAATCGAAATCGGCACTCCAAGCCGCGACACCACCTCTCTCACATATATCTCTGCCAACCTCTCTACAGAAGAGCTCTCACCGATATCAAGGAAGTGAGCGCTCTTCGTCAACCAGTCCACACCCAAATTGCATCAACACCTCTCGCGGTCCTCTATAAATTGGTGATGAAATCAATAGAAATATGTTCCCACTTCCATTAAGGAACCTCTAGTGGCTGCAACTTTCCATGCGGACGTTGGTGCTCGGCCTTAACCCAACGACAGGTCAAGCACCTCTCCACTACCCACGCAACATCCGTCTTCATACATAACCACCAGTAATCTCTCTTCAGGTCCAAATACATCTTATTAGCCCCTGGATGGATCGAGAATCTCGACCTGTGAGCCTCCTCCATCAGTATGCTACGTGCCCCGCACATAAACGACACCCATATCCGACCATGAAAGGTCATAAGCCCTCGACAATCGGTAACAAACTCGGATACTTGCCCAATCACTCGCTCTCTCTTGCAGTTCTCCGGTCCCACCGCCTCTGCCTGGGCCTCTCGGATGATATCCAATACCAGAGTCATCACCGTCATCCACATGCATATATCTCGAATTGGGGCACTCTCCGCCCTGCGGCTCAAAGCATCGGCTACCACGTTAGCCTTGCACAGGT